AAATATATTCTTTGATCACAGAGATTTGTTCATCAACCCCAAATTTATTCTTCCCTTCCCTCAGCAACTTTGTCTTTTGTTCTAACAATGGTATTGCCAATATCTCACTCCCCCAATTCAGAAACTTCAGCATTGCTGTCTAATGATTCTGTTGCACTTCCTCCAAAGTTTCCGTTGATACTCATTTTGATTCAATCTCTATCCCATGTCAGTACCTTATTCATTCGTTTATTACTTCACACCTGGTCTGTTTAAGTTGCTCTAAAATTCACTGCCACAATTCATAGCACTGCCACCACTTGTCTGTCAATTTGTTGTACTGTGGTGGCTTATATGGTGCTGTGAAGCTTGAGGCTATGCCACTGTTATTTCAAATACCAGCAGGGTCAGCCATGGTGAATAGGTTTCAGTGGAACTTCTAGAATGAGACAGACTTGGAAGAAGGAAGGAGCCATCCGCTTCTCAAAGAATTGGCCAGTGAAAACCTTATGAAAAGTAGTGAAACACTGATATATTACTGGAAAACTATGAATAGCTCTGAAACATTGCCTGATATAATGCCAGAAGATGAGCCCCTCCAGTCAGAATACACTCAAAATAAGACTGGGGAAGAGCTGCCTCCTCAGAGTAGAGTTGACCTTAATGATGTGGATGTAGTAAAGCTTTTAGGACCTCCATTTGCTGATGTGGCATGACTCAAAGGAGGAAGAAACAGCAGGAAACATACATTAATAATCAGAACATGGAATGTATGAAGAACAAACAGGAAAATTGGAAGTTGTCTAAAATGAAATGGAACTCATAAAAGTCAATATCCTAGGCATTAATAAGCTGAATTGGACTGGTTTTGGCCATTTTGATTCAGACAACCATATGATCTACTATGTCAAGAATAACAAATTGCAAAGGAATGGTGTTGCATTCATCATCACAAACAATGTTTCAAGATCTAGCCTGAAGTACAATACTGTCAGTGATATGATAATATCCATATGCCTACAAGGAAGATCAGTTAATACTACTATTATTCAAATTTTCATACCAACCTCCAAAGCCAAAGATGAGGAAATTGAAGATTTGTACCAACTTCTGTGGTCTAAAATTACCAAACATGCAATCAAGATGTATTGATTATTATTGGTGATTGGAATGCAAATATTGGAAACAAAGAAGAATCACTGGTAGTTGGAAATTATGGCATTGGTGATAGATATGATGTTGGAGATCACATGATAGAATTTTGCAAAACCAATGACTTATTCATTGCAAATACCCCTTTTTCAACAACATAAATGGCAGTTCTACATGTGGACCTCACCAGATGGAATACACAGGAATCAGATCAACTGCATCTGTATAAAGAAGTGATGGAGAAGCTCCATATCTTCAGCCAAAATAAGGCCAGGAGCTGACTGTGGAATAGACCATCAATTGCAAATATGCATGTTCAAGTTGAAGCTGAAGACAATTAAAACAAGCCCATGAAAGCCAAAATATGACCTTGATTATACCCATCTGAATTTAGAGGACATCTGTTGAATAGATTTGATGCCTTGAACAACAACAAAAGAAAACCTAATGAATTGTGGGGTGACATCAAGAACATCATCCATGAAGAAGGCAAAATTTCATTAAAAAGACAGGAAAGGAAGAAAAGACCAAAATGGATGTCAGAAGAGACTCTGAAACTTGCCTTTGGACAGAGAATAGCTACAGCAAATGGAAGAAGTGACCAAATAATAGAGCTGAACAGCAGATTTCAAAGAGCAGCTTGAGATGACAAAGTCAATTATTATAATGAAGTGTGCAAAGACCTGGAGTTAGAAAACCAAAAGGGAACAACATACTCAGCATTTCTCAAACTAAAAAACTGAAGAGAAAAATTTAAGCCTCGAGTTTCAATATTGAAAGATTCTATGAGCAAAATATCGAATGATGCAGGAAAAATCAAGAGAAGATGGAAGGAATACACAGACTCACTGTAGCAAAAAGAATTAATTGATATTCATCTATTTCAGGAGGTGGCATATGATCAAGAACCAATGGTATTGAAAGAAGTTGAAGCTACACTGAAGGAAGTGGTGAAAAAGAAGCCTCCAGGAACTGACGGAATTCCTATTTAGAAGTTTCAACAAATGGAGGCTGCACTAGAAGCACTTACTCATCTGTGTCAAGAAATTTGGAAGACTGCCACCTGGCCAAGTGACTAGAAGAGATCCATGTTTGTACCCATTCCAAAGAAAGGTTATCCAGCAGAATGTGGAAGTTGCTGAACAGTATCATTGCTATCACACACAAGTAAAATTTTGCTGAAGATAATTAAAAAACAATTGCAGTGGTATAATGACCTGGAACTTCCAGATGAAAGCTGGATTCAGAAATGTATATGGAATGAGGGATATAATTGCTGATGTCAAATGAATTTTGGTTAAAAGCAAAGAATACCAGAAGGACATTTATTTGTGCTTTATTAACTGCAAAATCAGATTATGTGGATCATAACAAATTATGGATAACATTGAGGAGATTGGGAATTCCAGAACACTTAATTGTGCTCATGAGGAACCTGTACATGGACCAGGAGGCTGTCATTCAAACAGAATAAGGGGATACTACATGGTTTAATATCAGTAAGTGAGTGCATCAGGGTTGTATCTTTTCACCATACTTATTCAACCTGTAGGCTGAGCAAATAATCCAAGAAAACTGGAGTATATGAAGAAGATCATGTCATTAGGATTGGAGGAAGATTCATTAACAACCTGTAGTATGCAGACGACACAACTTTGTTTGCTGAAAGTGAAGATGACTGATAAAGATTAAATAGTATAGTCTACACTATGGGTTACTGTTTAACATAAAAGAAATGAAAATCCTTACAACTGGACCAATAAATAGCATCATGATTGATGGAGAAAAGATTGAAGTTGTGAAAGATTTCATATTACTTGGTTTCACAATCAACACCAATGGAAGCAGCAGTGGAGGCATCAGATGATGTATTGCATTGGGCAAATATGCAGCAAAAAAACAAAACTAAACTCACTGCTGTTGGGTTGGATCTGAGTCATAGTGACCCCTCTTTGGGTTTCTGAGGCAGTATCAAGGAAGATTGCCCAATCTTCCTTCCGAGGAGTGGCTGGTGGGTTTGAACTGCCAGCCTTCTGGTTAGCAGTCAAATGCCTTAGTCCCTATGCCACTGCAAAAGACCTCTTTAAAATGCTGAAGAGCAAAGATGTCCCTTTGAAGAGTAGTAGGTGTGCTTAACCCAAGCTACGTTATTTGTTATTTTTAATAGCCTTATATGCATCTGAAAGGTGGACAATGAATCAGGTATCAGGAAGACTCAAGAACAGTTGATGCTTTTGAGTTGTGGTGTTGGTGAAGTCTACTGAAAGTAACATGAACTGCCAAAAGTACTGACAAATGTATTCTAGAAGTGCAGCCGGAATGCTCCCTGGAAATGAGAATGGCCAGAATTCACTTCACCTGGTTTGCTCATGTTGCCTTTAATTTTTCTTCCCTGGAGAAGCATACCATGCTTGGTAAGGTGGAGTGTCAGCAAGAAAGGGGAATGCCCTGAACGAGATGGAATGACAGAGCGGCTGCAATGATGGACTCCTATATAACAAGAATTGTGAGGATGGTACAGAATTGGGCAGTGTTTCTTTCTGTTGTACATATGATTGCTATGAGTTGGAACTGACTCTATGGCATCTACCAACAACAACAAAATTCACTGCCACTATAATTATCTTCTTAATATACAGGTCAGATCAATTTACCAGACTCCTTAAGGTTGTTTAGTGTTTCTTCCTATAATTTTGGTTTCTAGATTTGCTTCTTACTGGATAACAATTTATCCCCATCCCCTCTCCCCCAAAAATAATAAATTCTGCT